GCTTTCAATAATACAGGGAACTTCATTCATTAATTGAGCTGAGAGGATAGCAAAGCCAAATTTTTAACAGAGAAATATTATATTACAACACATAATTGGACTGTTAAAGTCAGTACCACAGGAAGTCATTGAAGCCAAGACTTTACTCCCATTCGAAAAGAAAGCAGCTATTTAAACACACATTAACAAGAAGCGAGGAAAAAGAATCAACACAGAGCTGAGGGAATCTCAAGCTTCATGACCCAGGATGCAAGAAAACATCCAAAGAGATGACTGGGCTGTATTTGGCCATACAAACACTCCCCTTAACTCGACCCCTCCACGGCCAGAAGCCAATACCAAGGAGAGCGTGTGAGCAACACATAGAACAAACTGTCCCTCAGACAGATCAACATGAAGAGTGTTCAGCTGCCAAGACAGCATCTGCCAACCACCTAAACCCCAAAAGCATCTGGCGCTGGCCAACTTCCAAAATGCAAGGCTTGCACGATTTCATATTTGATGTGATATTGCTTTAATGTCTTCTCCCACTTTGCAATTGCATTTTATTTTTTAAGAAAAGAGCAACAAATTATTTGCAAATGAGAGTTCAAACCAATGCTTGGACTCATTCCAGGAAGCCATCTAGGCTCTCTGGAGTATGTCTACCAAGACCACCTTAAATGAGCAAAGAATTAAATGCTGAACATTACATGTTTCACTTAAAGAGTATTCCCAGTGGAAAACAAATTTGGAAAAAGATCCCCTTTACATGTGTAAATTAAGAAATAAGAGGAACTCTCTGAAATCCTTCCCTTCAACTATAAAAAAAACCCCACACCACATACACAAGCTGTATTTCCAAATTTTTTGACAATATAATGGCTATCTCTATATATATGTACATGTTTGCTCTAACTTTGAAGCTGCTCTGAGATGAGGTTGGACAAGACTGATGACTTCCAATGACCCCTTTCAACTAAATTATTCTATGATTACATGTAGAGCATACCCAAACATTACACAGCAATACATTATAGCCCTAATTACTATTTTTATCTCTACACACAATTTATTAAGCTCTTTGTGTTCTCCTTACAAATTTGAATATGATTTCTACGAGCAGTTTACCATTTCCTATGCACTCAGAAAGGACTTTATGAATAACATTACAGTAAACTCAAGGGAGAAAACATGATAATTAAAGCTTTCAAAGTCTTATTTTTCACACCACCACCTATCTTTGCGTAAGTGGTGGTCAACCGTCCTTGACCAGTCAGAGGGAGCAGTACCCCTGACAGAGGTACCCCAAGAGTTTTGTTTTGTTTCCTTCCTACAACAACAACAAAAAAATTACAGAAAAAACAGGCCTACCTTGCCCTGTGAGCAGAAGCAATTAAGTCTGTCTGTTTTTACCAGTGTCCCGCGGCTCCCTATTGTCCTGCTCCACCTCACCCATCATTGTTTTCCTGCCCCCCACCCATCTTAACAACCATCCCAACTATTTGGCTGCTCCAGTACCAGCAGGCACCATGATGGCTCAGAGCTCAGTACACAGACTGCCCAGCAGTTGCTCACTTTTTGAAGAGGGAAGGGACTCAATTATAACTGCCTTTTTTTGGGTGGGAATATTAATTTGGGTCACTACCTGTCAAAAGTTTTATAAAAATTTTATAAAAACTGTGTACTTAATACCTTTTAGTTGCCATTAACTTTGGTTTCATCATCTGAGAAGTGACTCAAGTGGGAAAAGATAGACAATGAAAGTAATTGCACAAGCTTTTTGCCCTTATTAAGCCTTGCTAAAAATTCACATAAACTGTCCGGTGATGAATCCATAGACAAAGCTGTTTATTATGAAAAGAACACCCTCCTAGACAAAAAAAAAAAAACCAGAACCCAATCTTTGACTGTCATTGCTTTTACTCCCATGGGTCATGAGAAAAGAAAAACATTTCTTCAACAAAATTTCTACTATAAATCAGTAGAAGGTACGATATTTAGAAAAAGTCTGGGAAAACAGCATATGTAGCTTTGGAGACTTAGGAAAGAAATTATGTCCACTGCTTTCCAGTGACCCCTGCCAGCTGTGACAGGAACAGCAGTGTTCAACTCCAAGAGCCCCGTCACTCTTCATTGCCTGGTCAACTGCCCCAAACAACGTTGATGGAATTCTTTAACACACCTCTGTCCCGCTCTAATACACAGCAATAACCAGTTTGAGTTCTTCCAGAATTCACACCAATGCCCAGCAGCTATGGATACACCTAAGACCAACTTTTTGAGACAAGTTGAGCTAACTCTGCTTTAGTAGAAATTCAGTTCTACCAGAATATCTGAAGTGCTCCATGGAGTTCCCAACAATTACTGGCAATTTACTCGTATGTCACATTCCACACAATACAAGAGGAAAAAAATTCTAGTACAAGCATTGAATTAAACCAATTAAGTTTCAAAATTCTTTTTCAGGTGACTCAGGCTTGTGTTTTATCCTTTGTAATATTTATATCCAAAATAAAAACATACATTGGCAGTAAAACATAGCAACACAACATTTAACTGCACAAACATTCCACTTCAAACATGGATCAGGATCTTAAACGCACCAGTTCCAGGCACTGCTCTCAGCCATCACCTTCAGAAATGAAAATTGCTCATAAATACTGTACAGTGGAGTCTGGGGGGGTGATGTGCGTGCATACATCAGTTCATAAACACCGTACTGGAAAAGAAATAAGACTTCTGAGAAAAAGATTATCCTTTCCAGGGAGTTACAAATAAAGAGGCAAATCAAAGAAGATCACCAAAACCTTCAGAGCTACAGAAATAGCCAAAAACATACAGCTATTTATAACCCAGAGATTTATTCACAGAACACTTTTAGCCTCTTAACCCCAGGAAAACAAAGTCTCATGCCAAGTGCTAATGTATATAACAGAAATATATCCTTCTGCCACGTACTGACCACTCCAAGTGCAGCTAAAGATATTAGGATTCACTTACTAGGATTAACAGGTTATTTCAAGTGATGCACTTCTCCCTGATAAAACAGATACCACCATCTGTTTAACAGCATCAACAGGAAGATATAAGCAGACAAATTACTGATGACACACTGTATTTAGCTTCATTCCTATTAGAGAACTCGTGTGTCCAAACTGTAAAACCAGCTGTATTTTCTGTAGGAACATTTCATCACTAAGAATTTCAGAACGTTAATTAAAGTTCTTTCAACAAGTTAGGTTTTCCAATTAATTACTTTTTCCTGTTAATTATATGACAGAGGGATAAGACACTGGCAAATTTGGAACAAAATGCAAGACTCAGCGGTACTACATTTCAAGTGACCAGTAACATCTAAAAGCAATAAAAGGCAAAACACCAAGCACAGAGCTTGACACTAAGGACTAAAACTAACCCTGAATCTGATACACGTAAATCACACCCACTCAGAGACTATGTATGAAAACCAAAAGTAAAAGAAACAAACACCTGGATATTTCTACTACCACGGAAAAAATTTTCCTCAGTTCCTTTGGTTTTTCAAAGAAAAGACAGCAAATAAAACACCGGGGAGATGAATGTGACAGCAGGAACTTCACCTGATGGGAAGTTACCTAACATTTTGATTCCCAACTTGGAAACCAAGGGCAAGCTATAGTCAGGTTGTCACTGGTCCAGGATGGAAAATGAAAGAAAAGGGATAAGGATTGAGAAAGAAAACATTAAAAGAAGAAGAAGGCATGTAAAACTCAAGAACAGGGGAGATGAGGACAGAGGCGACTATGAAGATGCCGAAATTCAGGACCTTTAAAGGGAAGAGAACTCCTATCACTTGACCCGGGCACTGGGGCAGCGCTCGGTGCGTCCGAGCAGCTCCGCGGGGAGAAGGAGCCTCACGGCAGGAGCCAGGGGCAGGGCCCCGGACCGTGACCGCAGCTCCGCCGCCCACGACGAACCCGGCGGAGCGGGCACAGCGCCCGGGCACCGCCGGCCCCGGGACGGCGCGGCCGCAGCCCCGGCCGGACCCGGCGGGCAGGGACCGCTCGCAGCCGCGCTCGGACCCCGCGCCCCGGCGGCACCGGCACCGGCCCCGCGCCGGCCCCCGCCAGAGGGACCCGCGGCGCCGGGGAGGCCGCGGCCGCCCGCCCCTGCCCCGGCCGGGATCCCCCCGGGAAAGGCGTTCGGCAGCAGCCCCGCTCCCGCCGCCCGCCCAGGGCAGCCTCGCCGGGGATGCGCGCCCCGCGCCGCCGCTTCGCTGTGCCCCCGCACCGAGCGGGCACCGTCGCCTCGCCCCGGCCGTCCCCCCGCTCCACGCCCCGGTCGGCCCCTTCCCCAGCGGCGCGGGGCACTCGGCGCCCCCGGTTCTCGCCGCGCTGCCCCCGCGTTGGGGCCGGGACGCCCGCGGTGCCCCCTCCCCCATCTCTCACCGTCGGCGGTGCCGCGGGGCAGCGCGCGCCGCACGCAACGGCCGCGGGAGCGCGAGGCGGCGGCGGGAAGGCGCGCGCGAGGCAACAGCTGGCGGGAGGGGGGCGGGGGGAGCGGCGCGCGCGCCCGGGCGGCGGCGGCGGCAGCAACAGCGCGCCACCGGCTCGCGCGCCGCCGGGGGGCGGGGCGAGGGGCGGGGCCGAGTGCGGGCCGGCGGCCAAACAGCACCTCCCCCGTCTGGCGGGGGCGGGGCCGGGGCCGAGACGTGACTGGCTGCGGCGCTGCCCAACGAGAGCGCGAGGGAGGCGGGGCTGAGGTTTGACGGACGGCTGGAGAGGCGGAGGCGAGGCCCCTGTGACAGACAGACCTCTGCACCAATCGGCGATGGGGGGGCGTGGCTCAAGGCAGGCCGGCCTCGAGGGGCGGTGTGAGCTCAAGGGGCGTCCCCGGCGGCTCAGGGGGCGGGAGGCGGGGATTGACTTGAGCGACGTGGCAATAGACCAATAGTAACAGGACGGCTATGGGCGCTGCCCAATGGTAGGCGCGGGGCGGGGCAGGAGGCGGGCGGGCCCTGAGGCGCAGCGGGCGGGGAGGGCCCGGCCGCCCCTCAGCCCCCTCAGCCGAGCGCGGGCCCCGCCAACCGGGGGCAGCGCCGGGACCTGCGGTGCGGTAGGTGACGGGGGGCCGGGGGGAGCTTCCATCTCAGGGAGCCTCCGGCATGGCCGGGTGAGCGGGGCCTGGCGGGACAAGACCGCTCGGCCGAGGGAGGGGCCGAGGTTGTGAATTGCAAAGCTGTGCTTAAACGGGATTTTAAACCGGGCCTACCGCGGTATTTCTTTCTAGGTGTTAAATTACTCGTACCTACTGAATAGGTTCAAAATGCTATCTAATCGAGTTGGAGTTCTGTTTAACTTGGTTTCAGCATAATGTAAATTTCAGGACTTTTTTAGGCGATGTTCAAGGTTTAAACCTAAATGTACAGATCTGTGTTATCGTTACCACTGCACTGAATGTCATGTGTAAGTTTCCCTCCACTTAATTTTTTCCTTCTAAATAGGAGACAGAATTAGCTCTCATAACATCCTGATTATGCAGATCGTCCCATCAAGGTCAGTGATGCTCCTTGATGTTTCTCATCACTGAGAATTCTCACTCCCTAATTATGTGGGTCCTGTAAGGTGTCAAGAGCCTTTCTGTTGTCACTCTCTGCCTTTGACATCCCCAGTTCTCACAGAAGAGACAGGTCAGACCTGTACCACAGCTGCATCTAAAGCACATTTCCAAGTGCTGCCCGTGGTGTTGGGATAGCTGGGCTTCAGCAAAGAGTCTGCCCATCATATTCTCCACTACGAGATGCTTCATGTAATCAAACCCTCCATCATATTGTCAGCTGCACACCCAGCTGTCAGTCTTCAAAATTTGGTAGTTTTCTTTACTTGGACTTTAAGATCTCTCAAAAGTACACTTGGATTTTCTTGAGTTTTCATCCAAAAAAGCTTCTAAAATTGACGGCCTTTGCAGTCCTGTCTAATCTTGCAGTAACATCTGTTGTCAGAGAAAGGCAGCAGAACGTCCCATGCTGAGTTTTCTGCCTCTGCTTTTTACAGTTGTTACAAAGTGGTCCTGAACACTCGTGAAACTGAAAATATTTTCAAGTGAGCAACCTTAAATTGAGTAGCCTCATGTAATACATCTTCAGTAGCTTCCCATTTCCTCCAGAGACAGGTGATAGCACCTTCTCTGAGTATCTGATAACCTGATACCTCTAACAGTGTTGAATTTCTTTTTTCCTTTCAGGCCCAAGTTTCCAGTCTGTTTCTTTGGTTTCTGCTTTCTCCAGTTTCCTGTCGAGAGAGCCTCCTTCTTGCAGTGTTTGTAGCATTGATTTCTAGAACTGGTTTTCAAAAAACATTCTCATGGATGTTGAAACTTCATTTCAGATCACGACTCTTCACTTCAGCCACAGACTTGTACTTGAGAATACTGGAAGTGTTTTCAAAATACTGGAAAAGCTTCAGGCAGGACATAGTAATTGTTCTGTAATCCTCTGCACCTGCCAGCTAGTTTGGGTTTGTTTCTGCGACGAGCAGAACAAGGCTATCTAAACTTCCTCTGATTTTTTTGTCCCCTTAGCAATTGACTCTTCAGTGCCACTGCTGAGCTTCACCTCTTCCCTAAGGAAGGGGAGGGTGGAGGTCTTGGTTCCACCCTGCCAGTAACTGGCTTTCATGAGACCCTTTAGTGTTCTGAGCAGAACTGAGACTGTGAAAAGCAAATTAAAAATCCTATTTTATACCCTTTTATTTTTGGCTAGTTCTCCTGAAGGAACTGGCCTGCCTTGGGTCACACCAGTGTCAGCCCCAACACAAAATGGGGATGCACTCACAGCAACTCCAATTTTAGGCAAAATTGGATCTTTTCCTTAAAAGAAATCCTACTGCTATCCTTTAAATCAAATCCATTCAAACTTCAGACCCAGACTGAACAAAATAGTAGATCTGTTGAACCGTGTATCAGAAAACACAGATGTAAATTGTAGGATAATTTTATCAGTGTACAACATGGTTATCCCCTCGCTCCCAGGTGGCAAGTCACCTCCTCACCAGCTGAAACAGCAACTTTTACTTCCTTCCTACCGGTTCCAAAGCTTATGTGAGCACAGAATTTGTTCAGCTTCCTAACCTGGCAAAAAACTAACCCAGTTAAAAAGGTGGTAGTAGATTTCTGCTTGTTGGGTGAGTTTAACAGGCTTATCAGGTGATGTTGTGAGGGTTGGTAATAACAGAGAGGAAGGTGCAGCAGCTTGTGGGCAAGGGCACTGAGGGGACAGAGGGGAAGCAGCTCTTGTCCTTCCCTCAGCATCTGGTGCTGAGGATTAGATGCTTCTGAACACGACATCTCACTTTTGGTATTTCAAATATTTTTGTAATCGGGAACAAATCAAAGCTCATTTTCTTCTTTCAGGTGAAAGGATGTCAGTGTTGTAAAAGGAGTTATTAAATTTCTAAACTCTAATTTTTAAGATAATTAAGAAACCTATTTCAGCACCATTTCACTGGTATATATTAGTTATTCATCTTTGTAGCATGAAATCTAGATCTCTCAGAGGGGTTGTTACTTCTGCTCCTTAGTTGGTTTAACATTTTACTGTGGTTATTTTCTTATGTTTGTTTTCAAGCATTAGCTGTGAGTGCCTCAATACTGGTGGAAGATGGTGGAAGATGGATCTAAACATATTCTTAGCATTCAAAAATCCCTAAATGAGTCTGACAGCTAGTTTAGGATTAAGGCACAGTTTGTTTCACAGACCAAATTTAGATTAAGGCAGTTACATGTCTGACTTAAGGCTCTTAAAGGGAAGGGGGGACTGGAGCAAACAGTGTTTAGCTGAGCATGGTAGTTACAAAAGAAGTGCCAGGAAACAGTGTGTGCGTGAGGTTGGAAGGCAGGGAAAGCAAGAACCATAAATTCCTCTCCTTTGAGGAATATGCCTAATGGTGATGTAGTGCCATCTTTTGATGCCTTCCCTCCTCCCTTTTGTTTTGTCAGGTTGTTGCTGACAGTGAAGGCCTTCCTCTCACAGCTGTTTAAATGAGAATGTCCCTGGCGCAAAGAGTACTGCTGACATGGCTTTTTACGTTACTCTTCCTCATCATGCTGGTGCTGAAGTTGGATGAGAAAGCACCATGGAACTGGTTCCTCATTTTCATTCCAGTGTGGATATTCGATACAATTCTCCTAGTTATGTTAATTGTAAAAATGGCTGGACGGTGCAAGTCTGGCTTTGACCCTCGGAACGGCTCCCAGAACATGAAGAAGAAAGCCTGGTACCTCATTGCAATGCTCCTGAAATTGGCCTTCTGCCTTGCCCTCTGCGCGAAGCTGCAGCGATTCACCACCATGAAACTGGCCTACGTGTTCATCCCACTGTGGGCCCTGCTTATTGGCGGGATGGTGGAACTGGGATACAATATCTTCTATGTACGAAGAGACTGAGCTCTGCCAGGTGGTTTTCAGCCCAATGATTGGCACCAAATTACCAGAATATTACCATTTTGCCATGAATTTGATCTAGAAAGCCAAATAAGAAATGAGTCAAGCTGGAGACTTTATCTAAAGCAGGCTGAAGACTGGAAGTAGACTTGTTCCATTTTTTTATTTTAAAACTATCACATATGCTCTTGTAAATAAAAGTATTTGTTCAACATAAGCTGTTCTAGTATGATTACTGTTATTTGTTACATGGAATAAGATACATGCAGGTAGAAGATCTTCTCAAAGGAACCACAAATGTTGTACCCAGGGTATTCAGCACATTGAGTAATCCTTGGAAAGAGGACTAACATTTTCTGCTACTTATGCTGTAAGTCAAGAAATAACCAGGTAACAGTAATTTCCATAAGGAGCGTCATTTGCTTTAACAGTCAGTAACAGTTGATAGCTGCCAAATAAGAACAAAAAAGCAATGAAGTGACTCAGTTTGGTTTTACTTTCGACAGTGAGACTCCACTGCCAGTCTAAAAATAAGCACTATTTCCTAAGCTATGGAAACAGCCAATAACCAGTATGTTAACCCTAGGGAAAAAGGTTAGTAGCTGAACTGTGCAAGCAGTCCTAAGATCCAGAAAAGAGGGAGACAATGGTGATTCCTTTCCAAGTGAGAAATCCCCAGTGCTGCAAGAGACTGGAGCCACAGGGTGAGTTCAGTGCTGCATTTGTACCTGCCCAAAGTGGTACTTGAACAAGACAGTTTTCAATGCCTGAGGATAGGAAGTCTTTGGGGGTGAACCCTTGGCTTTATGGAGCAATGGCAAACTCAGATGTGTAAATGAACTGTTCAGGGTAACAAATGAACAAGGGGGAAGAACTGGAACTATGAGCATATTTTGTGGACTAAAGTGCTCTTCCAGGTGCTACAGTAACACCAAATTCAAATGTAGCAGTTGTCTAGCACATTATTAACATGCACACTGAAGGTACTGATCCATTTACAGTTCCTAGAGACAAAAGAATGTCAAGTGAATGAAAAGAGCCCAGGAAAAACAGTCTAGGGTAACAGGACATGACGAGATCAAAGTGTCTCACTGATAAAATTTTAATTATGAACACTCAATGTACTTCTCTGTGGAAAAAAATCCTTCCTGAAGTGTTTGGATTTACTCTTGCTGTTTAATCACACAGATATGTGTAAAAATACAGGGGAACCATACTGGCAGATAGAGCTCTTTCAGCAGTGTCCAAGAAAACAACATGTTCCACTCTAAGGCAATGGATCTCAATTCAAAACATCAGGTAACAAATGATCTTTAGAAAGAATTTAAGCCATCTTCGCTTCAGCATGGTTGACCTTGCTGAAGGGGAAACAGAGACAAATACAAAAGAAATCTAAACCACAGCCATTGCCAAAAAAGTGCAAAATATTTATAACCCCTTTATTGTAAGCAAATTAAAAAATAACACAAACCCATGGACCCAGCCCTGGGTGATGAGCACCAGGCGACACACACACTTACCTCGGGTATGGTATGGGACCAAGCATAAAACTGAGTGCTCACAGTCCTTCCCCATCCGATGATTCTCATGGAATAAAAATCCAAAAAGCCCTGTTCACAGGATGTCAAACACCCCCACACTGCTCAGAAGCGCAGAGCAGCTTTCCTCAGCCGAGCTGGGAATGGGAACTGATTGTTATAACTTAAATGATGGAAGAATAAGAACTGGCCTCATTAGAACTTGGTGTATTATTAGCAAGATGGGCCATGAATGACTCTGCCCCCTTAATAAACCCCCTCTCTTCCTCAGATGTAACAATTATCTGAAAGTTTGGCATCTCTAATTAACTAGAATCACACACAGTTATTACAAATCTCCTTTTAATTCCTGCCTCTAATTAAATAGGAAAAGATCAACAAGTTCAGTTTTGGTTGTGGGTTTGCCTTTTTTTTTTAAGGTTTACAAACCTTGAAATAAGTGAGAGATTTTGAAAGCTGAAGCAGATGTTTCTTGCTGGTGTCATACAAGATGTTTCTTGCTGGTTTCATGCTGGTGTCATACACAGAGCCAGCTGGAAGTGCTCAAGGTTCCTTGTCCTTACAGGTATACTTGGACAAGAGGAATACCCCTTTTGACTTTTTTTTACCACATGTAACTGACCTGAACTGTGCCACTTTTTGTACATAGTGTTGCTTCTCTGTGACATCAGAACTTCATTCAAAAGGATTTATGATACAAAGTATACTGCAGCCCACAGTGACCTTTCCAGAAGCTGCTGTGGTAACTAATTACACCTGTTTATTACACTGTTCTCAAAGGCACTGGTCACAGCTTGGGAGTGGAACCAGTGCTGCTCACACATTTTCTTAAATTTACCAAACTGATCTTCAATTAAATTAACAGGACAAAACAAGTGAAAAGTAGATTTGCTGGAGTTTGCAGGGAACAGGAGAGGCTGATGCCGATGGCTCACACAGCTTTGTGAGGAAGGAGCACAAGGACGTTGTCTCAGCTCCCTGTGGCAGCTGATGGGGGGCACAGAACTTGGCCTTCAGCAGCTTTGTTTTTAACTGGAATTCAAAGGCTTGCTGAAATGAAATAGAAGTATTTATCTGTACTGATAATATGTATTGTATATGAAGAGGTATATTCCACATAATTTATTTCTCTTCCAATCACTTATAGAAGTTTGAACACATCAGCATCCACTGCAGAAGAGTATCTATCTATTCTTATCTGATTAAATACTCAATGCGCGTGTGTGAAAGGCCATGACACTATTCTTTTCAATTACCAATTCATACTGCTTTTCTTGATTTGTCACCATTTAGAACAGTATCCAGTTTTCTGTTCATTTTATACTGGCAAAATGCAGTTATGTGACATAAACATCCCCTTGTATAAAGAAGTTTAACCCGAATGCTCTAAGAACGTGTGTACACACACACAAAATGCTCTGCTAGGCATGAAGGACAATATCAGAGTAAGTGGGTACAGGACTGAGGGACATAACCAATTTAAAATATGTGTTATCAGTATTATTTTCTGACATATCTGTGTCTAGCACAGAAGCAAAATCTTTGTGTAACCTCATGGAAATTTTCACATTTGCCCAGTTTAAAAGTTGGGTGACACAAAGTGAAACTGAAAGTTAAAATTATGAGACTCCCAGAAACTCAGAATTTTAACGTCAGGTGTTTCCTATCTTAACATCAATATTATTTTGGGAACAAATAACATGGCTTTTCAGTAATAAAGCTCCTGAACAACTGCATCCTCAGAAATAAGTTGTTTGAATTTACTAGCACAGAAAACATAGTCCTATCATGTAACACATCACTTTTAAATAAGATTGAAGTAAAAATAACTATGCTGGGTTGGGAAAAGAGTGTTTGTACCTTCTCACTATACCTTTATTGTTTTAGAGTTTGGATGGAGTTCATCTCATATATGAGCCTTTTAGACCTGAACAGACCTTGCTGCTGAAAAACATCAGGCTTTGAGAACTAAGGCAATTTAAGGAATCTCTGCAGCTGGATCACTACAACTGTTCCATATAAGTTCTACATTTTCTCCTTGTATTTGTACTGAAGTTGGATAAAGACTACGAAAATCTGCAACTCAGTAACGCCATTCCCTTCAACCTGCCTTTCCTAACAAAACCAACATCCCAAGCAGGCAAATATAAGAAAGGTCTCCATACAGTGCAGAACAACAGCTTAAGAGCAAGAAACGGAGAAGAAAGGAAAACGTGAGCTTAATTCATCTGGGTTAGTTTTTATCTCAGTGTTCCTTCTGAATTTCATAAAGAAACCACTGCTAAAAGATGTTTTTTAGTCTCAACTGTTTTTTTCCCAACTGCACCAGTCAAAAGGGCGACTAGCTGAGTGTTGTCATTGTGTGCTTAGGATAAAGCTTTAGCAGTCTTGACTTATGTTACATTAGTCTCCCACACACAGATCTAATTCTCAAGATTTTCATCTTGAGACACACAGGGAATAACCTTCTCAGCTCCATTTTGTCTCAACCAGATAAAAAGACTTTCATAAAAAGCACAGGCCTGAGCTCTACCCAACATGGCACCATCATTCTGGTGGGCAGCAAATTAAATGGTAAAAGAAAACACGGTATCAAAATAGCTACTGAAAAACCAAACTTGATAAAAATAGAAGTTTAAACTGCTGTTTTAATCAATGTTTGTATCAGATAACTGTACATCAAATATTAAAGGACTATTTAGGACTAACGCCCCCATCAGTAGGCTCATCTATCAGCATGACCAGAACAAGAGAAGATCAGTGTTTAGCTGGCACTCAAGTACAGCACGGCTCTAAAGCAGAGATAATATCAGCATCAAAGCACAGAGAAAAACAGTGGTTAGAATATAATACACTAAATTTGCAAAGTCAGTATCCCTGATGATTCTAACAGAAACAGCAGCCTAGATATTGTGAAGTTAATCACTGCTTCTGAACAGAACACAAAATAATTTGCATTTCTAAGGAAAATGAAATGAGTGACTGATGGGAATCAATTCCCCAAATTTTCCCACATACGCTGCAAATTCAGTGGGATCTGCACAAAATATCAGTATCTTCTTTTATACAGTTTTAAAGTGCATTTCATCTGTTTAAGAAAGTAATAAAGTATCAGCTGAACACAGTGACTCATAATCAAAGAAAACATTCTCGACAGTCATTCACAGCAAAGCAGAGAGCAGTGAAAATTTGTCCTTTGCATTTCCAGCTTGGGTACATCCAGGGCAAGGTACAGGCGCTGGGCTGACTAAAGACAAGACTCTCTACATACCTGCCCGCTAGAAGGAAATAAGTAAAATGACACTTGAGAAGCTTGAACTTTAGAACAAGAGAGTTGAGAGTTCTTTGATCTCTTGATCAAAATGAGTACAGTTTTCAGCCTAGCAGGGTCACGTGGCAGTCTACTCTCACAACAGTTTATTTTGCCCACGAGCAAGGAAAAAAATCATGGATTTATTTCAGTCAATTCAGCATCCTCATTCATATGCAGATCTCAGAAAGCAGTAGTTTTTGATCTATGAATACCAGTCCTGTGTTTCTTGGAAGACTTATTCATTTTTCCAA